CCCCCCCCCTCTCGAGCGCGGCCTGCCTGGCAGGGCGGTGATGGAGGCCCAAATGTCTGCCGAGAAGCTGATCTGTGGTCTGAGCCCGAGGGCTGCTGCATGGACACACATCCCTAGGGGTCGCGGGCCAGACAGCTACCAAATTTGTTAGTCCGCTCATCAACCGTGGTGGCTGAGGGCTTTACTCAGCGAACGGGCAGGACCGCGGGCGGCCACGACCCCAGGTCTACCCCCCAGCCCCAATTCAAAGCATGACATGGGTGTTTATGCGGTGTGACACGCAGGCCTCCTCGTGACGACGCTGCACGATGACTCACACACGTACATTCCTTTGCATTGCTGACAGGTCATTAGAGTTCTTAAACTTAATTACCCAAACAAACTGTATACACTTTTCCCAAAGCCAACGTCTACTCTGTCTGCTTTAAATATGATCAAATTTCATGCACTGAAATCAGCTCGAAATCCACGGTGCTTTAACATGTGTTTGTTGACACTGGTGGGTTACCGTGTTGGGGAGAACATGCAGGCTGCTTGAGAGAGAATCCCAGCCAAGGGACGCGTCGGTCTGCCTGCTGGTCAATCACTTCTGTATCCCTGCGTCCCTTGGCTGGGATTCATGCGTGCGTGTTTTTGTCAGAGAATTAGCAAGCAGGGTTAAAATTCGCTGCTCATGTTGTGCTAATTTTCTGTTCCTGCCACAAACACTTGCAGACACTTTACTTCACCATCTGGATGCCATTAGCAAGCTACCTGTCATTAAGGGGCTCTGGAACGTGCAGTGGAAGCCTGCCATCACGCGCGGCTGAGGTGCGGCCTGGAGCCTGTAACTTTCTGGCGCTGTGTCTATACTGGGCCACCAGGTCTCTACTGCAATCCAGAGTTGGACCGGTTAAAATTCTACTGGCGTCCTCCTTTTGACTGTCCAGTTTGTCTCTCTGTCACTGCAGGACTCAACAAAACCAGCACATTTTCCTGTGAGGCTCATAACTACAAAGGGGTCGCCACCTCAGGTTCAGGCCTTGTGACAGGTAGGTATCTGGCATGAGGGGAGGGCAGCTGGTTATGAGCCATGGCTAGGGGAGGCGGGGCCTGTGTTCTAACCCCCTTCTGTTCCTTCCTGTCCCCCAGTCATACCGTCCCAGCCTCGGAAAGTGCACACCACTCAGGTCACCAACACCAGCCTACATGTGTCCTGGCAGCCTAGCTTTGGGGGGGTCCATCCCATCACCGAGTGCTCAGTCCAGGTAGGATGAGTCAGGAAAATCCCCAGTGGTGAGTCAGGAACCAGCAGGCTGAGACATAGTCAGAGTCAGAGTCAGACTGGCCTATGCATGGAGAAGCATTGTACTGTACTATTGTTGGGGAACGTTTTCTTAGAAAGATTTTGTTTTTTTTGTTTTTTTAAACCAAGTACTCCCTCCTCAACCCTCCCCCTCTTTGGCCCCCCTCCCCAACGCGCCCTACAGTGAAAGATCAGGTTTCTCTATGGGAGAGTGGACCTCTGGCTTTAACTCCTGCAGTGCCGTTATACACGTCCCCCCCCACCACCCTGCTAGGGGAGAGATGGGCAGAGCGTACGCGCTCTCCGTGAGAGGCCCCCTCAGCCCACCCGCCCATAAACGTCTGGTTCTGATAAATCTGTCCCCTCCAGCATTCCCACACCCCACGCTTTTTTCATCCCCGGCCCGGTAGGCGAGAGAGGGGGGCTGATTCAGCGGCTCGAACAGCAGGAACGGGAAGAAATGTGAGTCAGTTGTGTGGCCGGGACAGAAAGAGACAACGTGCATTACCATGTTTATAGCGGATAAGTAAACTACGAAAGAAAAAAAGTGAGCTTCTATCTGATATTTTAAGACATGGGGGGTGGGGTGGGGTTCTTTGAGTCATGTCTGTGTGGAGTCTGTGTTTACATGTTCCGTTTTCGAAACCCCCGACTTTTCTGAGTCACGTCCTCTATGTTTGAGCGCAAGCGCTCGGCGATGGGGGTGTATGAGGATAAGTGGCCTTCAAAGTCACCTGCGCTACTCCTACCAGCCCCTGCTCAGTCTCCCATGACGAGTTTCTGCTAGAAGTGAGATGACGATGGTCTCACTCTGTTCTGGAGGCACTTTCTGTACACTCCAGTTCTTTTACACGTGTATACTCCTGGATATATGCTCTGGAACAATTCAGATTAACTTCCCCGTTGATGAAGAACACAGCAGGGCTTGAAGGCTACAGAACAGGATCAGGTTGAGATGTCATGGCCTTAAATACTCTGATGGCAGCCTGTGTCACTTTTAAATGGTTCAGTGACAGTTCAGCCCTAAGTTATAGATGGTTTGACGAGATTTAAGACCATCACATGGAGACTGATGATAATCTGTGTTTCAGGTCGTGCCCTTTGAACCTGACCCCAACACACTGTCCAGCTCTACGGGCCACCAGCAGAATGTGAGCGCCACGCTCTCCAGTCACGTGATCTCGGACCTGGAGCCGCTGACAGCGTACAGAGTGCGGGTGGCTTGCCGCAGTAGTCAGGGGCAGTCTCCTTGGACGGACTGGGTCACGCTGAGTACTGCAGAAGGGGGTAGGTGGCGACCATCTTCAACCAATTTCAATTCATCTGTCAGCTTGAATACGTTTACGGTTGTGGCAGGAATTGTGGGAATGAGGCTCTCATGTTGGTGGCTTGACGTCCTGCTCAAACGTGGAATTTCTCCTCCACGCTTCTTCACGCCGTCTTTGCTGAAAATGGGAGGGATGTCAGGAATGGGAGAAGTGAGTAAGTGTGGGAGAGGATCTGGAGGAATGGAAGAAGTGAGTAAGTGTCGAGGAGTGAGCACAGCGCCCCAGGGAAGGGGCCGGTGGCCATTCCGTCAGCCGCGCGGTATGTCTGGCCGAGCCGAGTCCGTCTGTCAGCGTTTCCCACCGCGATTTGCCAAAAAGAAACTCGCTGACATGGAAACTACCTGCTCCTTCAGCACAGCTTATCCAAAAACACATCAGCATCATCCCAGACAGGGGGAGAGAGAGGCAGATGGAGCAGGGCCTGGACGGTTAGAGCCTGTCAAACCATTAGCTGCCCTTTGTGACGGCATCAGTTGGCCCTCTGTCTAGGAGCTGAAGGGAGCCTTGCTTGGGTGCTCTTCCAGCGGCTGGGCTGAAGTGGGGGACAGGCTGTCTGGCCCCTACACACAGACAGCAGGCAAGCCACCGGAGGGGGGGGCAGGCAATGGTTGCTTTTCCTCCATTTGCCCGGTGGCATGTTCATTCCTGCTCTGAAATACCCTCCTATTACACCGTCAGCATCCAGGATTGTGTCAATCCGTCCGTGCGGGAATCTGCTATGTGTCTACAGGTAGAAAACAGACCCTGGGCTCCGTTTCACTCACACAGTGACCCGGTTTGGCCTCGACTTTTAAAATTCAAACCATGCTCACTCCCTCCAAATGCCCCCTCCCCAAGCATCGCCTACCTGCCGCTCTCGGACCCCATGAACATGACACGCATACCGCAGCAATTCTTTTTGCGCCGTCTTTCGTGCTTTAAGACTGTGGGCCCAGGTGGTCACTATTTTAAGCACAAAAAAAAACATTTTAAATGCCAAGTTCTCTAGAAAAAGATTAGGCACCAGCGAGGCAGCCTTCAAAAACAATCCCCTGAAACTCCCAGCCTGACCCTCTATTTGATCGAGAGAGAGAGAGAGAGCGAGAGAGAGAGAAAGAGAGAGAGAGAGAGAAGGCAAGACCAGTCCTATCCAAGAGCAGCCAACAGAAAACTGTTTCTTGGAAAGATTCCTGCCAAGGTCCATTCGGAGTTCACAGGATTAATCCAATTGTGTCTAACTGCCCCAATTGCTCCCCTGTACTGTTCATTGGGGCTCCAGGCTGACACTGGGTAACTAAGCCAAAATAAAGGAGGACAGAGCCAAAAAATGTGTTTCCTATGGACAGCAGGTGGCGTAGTGGTTAGGTACCCATGAGGTCCAGTTGCTCAGAGTGACTGCTCTGTCCTTGCTCCCATTGCCCGGAATGCTCACGCTCTTCCTCCCCCGCCTATCCATCCTCCCCATTCTTCCCTGCTTGTTTGTTCCCCTTATCTTGTAATTCTTCCTAATTCCTCCCCCCAAGCATTGCTGATCCATATTTTGGTCCTTCTGGTTGGTTTGGTGCCTTTATTTGGTGCCTGCGTTTTGGGGGAGGTGGTGTTAGGTAGAGGGACGCAGAGCGGGGGCGTCCATGCTACTCGCTGCCGCCTGATGGCTGGAGCACATATGGAAGAAATCAGCCCTTGCCGGCACGGCAACACCGTCAAACCTCCCCCTCCGCGCCCCCATCACTGAGGCAGATGAGGCCGTCCTACAGGCCGCGTCCGGCTGTTAGCTGTCTGCTCTGGACAGTCTGGCATTCCCACCTCTTGTTTTTTTTTCCTCGTTAGTTTGCGCCTCGAGTCTTTTGCATCCTTCAGAAAACAAACCAGTTCCCAGAGTGCCATGCTGCTCTGATGCTCTGTTCGGGCCATAATCCCTGTACACAGCTGCCTCACAGTTTAAACTCCCTTAAGCTGTTTTGCTAAAAGTGGAATTCTGCTGTCCTCCACGTCCACACCGCGACCCTGATGCCGCTCAGCTCTCTCTGAGGCGCGATCGTCTGGATCAGAGCACTGGCTTTTATCTGTGTTCCGAGCCCCCCCATGTCTGAGCCGTAAAGAACATGGGCATCACAGATTGCCGGATGGCCTCTGCGGCGGGCAGTACTCTGAGGTAACCCGACTCGCGCTGATCCCTGACAGTGCCGGACTCTGCCCCGGAGAACATAACCGCCATACTGAACGGCACCGACGTGGTGGTGAGCTGGGCGGAGCCAACGGGCAAACTGAACGGACGCCTAATGGGATACCAGCTGGAGTACAGGACCCCAGAGACAAACCAGGTACGGCGCCCACGGCGTGTGACACACCCCCACCAAGCCCTTTGCCTCCTGCTTGCGTCGCATAATGGTGCTGGAGCAGTACATGATATTCTGAAGTACATCAAAGCAGACTGGCGTCTTTGTGTCCCAGATTGTCCTGGATGTAGGGCTGTACCATGAGCTGCCCATCAACCTGTCATCCCCCCTGTCCAATGTGTCGTTCCGGGTGTGTGCCTACACAGTGGCGGGCCCGGGTCCCTGGAGCGACCTGCGCACGCTCACCCTCACACAGCCAGGTATGCGGGGGAGGGGAACGGGGGCGGGGCTGAAAGGACAGCGGGCTGGCCGGGGATCGACTTAATGCACGAGATATCAATCTAGAAGCACCGTAAATAAAAACGTTCTCTATCTCTCCCACAGCGATGGGCGAGTCCAGAGGTGAGTGGATTTCATTTTTTGCATTAACGCACATCAAAGAGCATAAACGTGAGGGTGTGGATTTCTCACATGGGAACGCACACACACACAGACGCTCGTAGATGCACGATAATCAACCAAGGGTTGTTCTCTTAGCATCGTTGTTTTCTTTTTGAGTGTCTGTACGGATCTGTATGGGTGTCTCCATAGACTAAACAAGAAGCTAAGGAGGGGCCAGGAAAGAAGGAGGCGGGACTCTGCAGGGCTGGGTGGGATGGCTTGTTAATATTCATGAGAAAGAGGCTATCATTGGATTCAGGCTGGCGAATCGAGTGGCGAACATGGCATGACAAACAAACACAAAGTGCTCAAAGGTCCCCTGACATGAAAAGCACAGGAAGCACACGTTCCTGAGTCCAGGAAGCAGGACAGTGGAATTGCTCTAATAATAACAATAATAAGCTGTAAGAAATGCAAGTTGGTTTGCATCAGTTAGGAAAATGTGTCTGACGTTTGCAAAAGGCCTTTATGTGACTAACAGCTCTGGGGACTGGAAAGAGTAGCCCAGCGCTGACCTCGCTGTGGCGCTGCGTCTATTCACCTCCTCCACCCCGTCCTTTCAGGCTTGTCCTCATCATCAACCCCCTCCTGGCAGTGGTGGTACGTCGTCATGGCGATTGGCATTACCGTGGTGCTGGCAGTGCTGGCGGCGGTCTACGTGACTCGACTGCGGCGGAAGGAGACGCGATTCGGGTACGGGCGAGCCGCGTCTCCCGCTTATGCCGACTTTGTGCATAAGGGCGTAAGGATGAGAGGAGCCTTCCTGGGATAATGGAAACGGTGCCAGATTACACACTTGGGAAGGGGCGGAGTCAATGCAGCAATTGCCCCACACCCCTTGATTACCACATCAAACATGCCATCTGTATGACTGCAAGCATTCAGACCAATGTTGGGACTGTCTGTGACTGCAAAGAAAAAAACTAAAAATGCAAAAATTCTTGTATTTGTTTGGTTACTCATGGTTATGGTTAGGGCAGGGTGGGGGTTAAGGTTGTTATAGTTAGCGTTAGCATTTTTCCCATAGAAATGAATGAACGGTCCCCATAAAGATATGTTTACCTGACTGTGTGTGTGTGTGTGTGTGTGTGTCACAGGGAGGCGTTCGAGCCCATGATGGAGCGAGGACAGCTGGTGGTGCGCTATCAGGCTCGTCGAACCTACAGCCGCAGGAGTAATGAAGCCACCCGTGAGTCCTCTGATCGCCTGCCCTGACACCTGCCAGTCCTGTCTAGCAGAGAGAGTGACTTTCTGTTTCTGTAATTAAATCCAATTACTGTAATTAGATGGCTACCCGATTTAACCGAATGAGCGGTTTATGGACGATGTGCTGAAGTTCTGGTGAAGTTAGAGAGGGCATCGCCTGAAGGATACAGACGGCACATTGTCAGACTTGGTGTCCACGCCTCGTCGACACACCCATGTTTTCCCATGGTGCCTTGTGAGTCACCAGAGTGCAGCTCTGCAGCCTGGCGTGTGTGGATGCAGCCCTGCAGCCCTGCAGCCTGGCGTGTGTGGATGCAGCCCTGCAGCCCTGCAGC